CCGCCTCATGATTTCAGAATTTATAACGTCACGCGGGTTAGGCGTGGCCGCGGTGGGCGCGCAGGGCCAGCGGCAAGCTCGCTGGGTACATCGACGCCCCCCCCGCAGCCCGCAGCCCGGGGCGGCCCCCGTGTGATTTTTTTCTAGCCCCCCCCCCCCCCCCCCCCCACTTAGCCATTTTTCGATTGCCAAATGTCTCTTGCTTCCATTCTTTTTGAACTCCAACATCCTGGCCTTTCCTCTCTCGCTTCCAGTACCCCGGGATCCAGCCTCGGCCCTCCGCCTTGGTGGATAACAGCCCCGGGTGGGGGGGGGGTACTCCCATACATTACCTATACGGCAACCTCGTCCCCAGGGCGCTTTTCCCGCCCCCAAAGCCAGGGAAAAGCGCCCTGGGGACGAGGTTGCCTATACGGGTATGTGCTGCCCAACGGGGTCGTGATTTTGAAGCTCCTGATTAAGAACGGGGTATCCATTTCAGAGGCGTTTTCTAGAACGGGGTATAAAAAATTGTCGATCACGGCTTTATGTTCTGCTTAAAATTGTTGCTGTTTATGAAGAAGCATTTACTTGATGTATAAGTCGAACAAATAAAGAAATATCTTTTTAAAAAACAGGGCTATTTCAATTTACAAACTTTCTAGAACGGAGTATAAAAAATTGGCCTATTTCTAGAACGGGGTTTCAGTTTTAGGGCGAATTCTAGAACGGGGTATAAAAAATTGGCCCATTTCTAGAACGGGGTATCAATTTTAGGGGATTTTTTTTTTAGAACGGGGTGCCAATTTGGAGTCCAGGGCGGCACATACCCACCCAAAAAATACCCAAGTTCCCCCCCCCCGGGATAACAGTCTCCTATATCTTCATAATTCTTCATATCATTCGGACAACACAGTGAGTATTGTTTTCACTGTTCTACCATGTTTGTTCAGCTAAATTTTCAGGGTCGTTTGATCATCTACAAGGCAGAGGGTCGCATACACGAGCTTAAGTGGGTGTACGATGGAACAGCATGGGATGTGGAAAGTGGAACCAGTGTGAAAGCTAAACATTATCAGAGTTCACAAGGAGCCCTTGAGCATGCTGTCAAGGAGCTGATTGAAAAACTCAAGGCAAAGAAAATACTAGCTAAGTTATAAACTCGTGTCAGCGTAAGGGCCGTGCAAAAATAAAGATGTAAAGAGGAAAGTTGTTGTTGTCGTCTCATCAGTATTTTTAAAAATAAAGCAGAAAATTAAACTATCTGTGCTCATATATATGTTGGACATGACTCCCGATCCTTGTTGATTTTTAAGGGTTTCTTCTTTCTTAGACCACTCGAACAACTTTCAACATTTTACTCCAAAATGAATCATTGAATCTCAAATGATGTTCTTCTTCTCTTTAGAGATCTCTAGAAAAATCTGGTTATCTGTATTGTGACGTAATTTTTTACACATGTTAGTATCATTATTCCCTCTTGGTTATCATGATCTCAGTGAGAGATGATGTTGAGGTTAATTTATTCTTTTGTTTGGAACAACTTTCTCTTACGCGATGTCTTTTGCCATTGTGAAACGAATAAAATTCACAGTCATACACCTGCATTAGAATTAGGACAATCTGTCACCACAATCCCGTAAAAATGGGGTACTCTCTATATACTGGCTTGCGTCCGGGAGGTTACGCCTAATAGGAGTACCATTTGCAGGCTTCATTCTGATGTAAAGATGTCATGTTGAATTGCGTTTTTTAGTGGTTTTTTTTTTTACGATTTGAAGTGTACAAAGGATGAAAATTTTTCAAGCAGACGCATTGTATGGCTGTCCTGCGGAAAAATTAAATCACCTTCATTTCAAAGGTTAAGCAAAGGGATGCAGTACTGTAAAGCAGGTGTGTGAAAGCCAAAGGGGAGACCTTTTTTCCAGCGGACAGTCCCGTGAGGGTGGGGGTGTGTTGGGGGGTTTGTTGGATCCATCAACCTCGTTCCTAGGGTTGAGGAGCGAGTAGGAGAGCCAATGAGACCGAGTCTTGTTGGGCTATGTTGGTACAGATTGGCAAAGGAGGCCAGGGGGGGGGGGGAGGGGGGGGGGGAGCACCTATCACGCATCACGCAGACATTTTGTACGTCATCACGCATCGTAGGGAAAAAATGACACGTGAATGTGGTGTAATTGCATTAAGTGTACACGGTAATATCTCAGCCCATTAAGTGAATCAGCCATAATAAATTGTTTTCAGCGTTCGTTTTGGGAAGGATCGCCCGTTAACAGTTAATTGAATGACCTTAGAATTGTACAAAAAAGAGTTCTCTACTGATCCGGTGTTGTTGACGACCTGGAAATAGAGAGTCATACTGAGTACCATTTTGACAGGAGATAAAAGCTTCAGAAACGAGAAAAAGGACCAGAAAATGATGTCATGACTATCTGTTTTTAATGGAAGTACTTCTAGTCAAATAGAACCAGATAGTGACCAATCACGGAAATCTAAAAAGAAAATCACCCCAGGGGAGCCAAGATTATCTATAGGCTATCTGATCAGTTAGCAGCCAAGAAGCTTTAACAATAGCTGGATGGGAATCGATTAATTTCATGTAGAAAGTTACTGACTTTTATGTATCAAGTTTACAAATCTGAGTTACCAGGTAATATAATTAAGCTTTTTAGTTGCAGCTGATTGCTGTTATGATCTACGCAATAGCATTAAGTTTCAGGTTCCCCGCTTTAACCTAGAGGTGGGCAGGAATTCATCAAGATATAGGGGAGCTTTGTTTTGGAACTCCATTCCAGACAATTTTAAAAGAGCAGCAAGTCTAAACATTTTTCAAAAGCTTCTTAAGAAAAATAGACCCCTGTTTGACAATATAAATGTCAACAAGATGAAATAGTATTTTAATTGTTCTTAACTTTTAGTCTCTTATCTTACTACCGTATATTTATTTTTTTCATGTACTATTTTCTGTACATTTTTAATTTCATTTGTATATCATCAATAGATAATTTATCAGCAGGTCCACATCAGCTTTAGCTGCTTTTTAACTTAACCTGCTTTACCAAATAAACTATGAATGAATGAATGAATGAATGAGTCACGTGTTGTGAAAATAGCAAATCACGCACCACCCAGCTATGCCGAATCACGCCTCACGCAGCTAATTTGGGCCCGATCTAGTGCGACTTCGGGGAAAATTTGGGGGGCCGAGGATGGCCCATGGCTCCGCCAAAATAATTTTCCCCGAATTCGCACAAATGAGCCTGCTCGCAGGCTAGGCTCCTTCACGCATCACGCTGATAATTTGGGACCCATCTCGCGTCACGGAAAACCCCTTAACCAGTTTTTGGATGATGCCCGGGGGGGCACTTGGTTATTTTTTGGGTGGGTATGTGCCGCCCGGGACTCCAAATTGGCACCCCGTTTTAAAAAATAATTTCCCCTAAAATTGATACCCCGTTCTAGAAATGGGCGGATTTTTTATACCCCGTTCTAGAATTCGCCCTAAAACTGATACCCCATTCTAGAAATGGGCCAATTTTTTATACTCCGTTCTAGAAAGTTTGTAAATTGAAATAGCCCTGTTTTTTTAAAAAGATATTTCTTTATTTGTTCGACTTATAAATAAACCCGTACCCAAAAGTTTTTATTCCCCTTTTGAAAAAACCCCTCGAAAAGGAGACCCTCTTGTAAATACGGGGGGTTAAAAAACCCGCCCCCGGGGGCGGCCCAAACCCCGGTAGGGAATTGTGTGGGGGACCCCCCCCCCCCCCCCCCCGGGGTTGGATCAGCATCTTGCAGTTAATTCTATTCTTGCGATATTTACATTGTAACTGACTAATTGAGAAAATAATTTTGTTTAGAAATAAATTTCACGCTTAGAAAGGTGATAGACTGTTCACAGTCCTCAGTTTTTCCGTAAGATCATCGAGATCGAGCGCTTTGCGTTACGGGCTGCCATCTTGCATGAGTGTCAAAACTACTTTCTAGAGCTATAATCCCCGACGCCCACCCCCTCGGTACATTTGAAAATCAAGATAGCCGTGAAGATAAGACGCGGTATATCTCAACGATCTCACGAAAAAATAGGGGACTGTGAACAGTCTAGAAAGGTGAGAAAAGGCGACGTTCCTTTAAAGGGAGAATTTTGAAGTAATTTATATGACACACGTTGTTGAGTGAGTGATAACCTCTACAGTCCAAAGTTATATTGCAGGCTCAGCGGTGATTCGAACGTGGCATTCGCAGTCGAGCAAGCAATTTGCAAGTTCTGGAAAGAGCTTTAATTTTCATGTCCACGTTTATTGCAAGAAAGTAATAAAAAGAAGCTTTTAAGCAAGCTCGAAGATGATGGACGACGAGGAAGCTTTGAAGGAGAGCGTATCTAACCTGAGATCAGCAATTCTTCTTAGACGAACAGACATCATTCGCAGTATCCTTTCGACTGCCGCAGAGTGTAAGGGCGGAAATATTTTTTTGTTTTGGTAGAATTATCTCACGCACACCCGCTCACTTCGTGTGTTTTGGGACAGAAAGCGGCAGTTTGTTCCTTCCTTCAAAAGGGCATACAAACAGCTGAATGAGAGTGAAATCTTTCTTTACATAACAGGTGTTACGCGCTGTTAAGCCGTTATTTTATCATTAAGTTTATTTTTTTATGTTTTAGTTATTGGGTCCTTTCTACCCAGCACTCACATTCTAGATTAACAAGTTACTTTTTATACCGGTTTCTGGGTACGTCTCGAAAACGATTTTAATTCACTTAAACAACGTGCCTTTTGAACGGTCACGCACTGTTGGCCAACAGACACTTTCACTGTGTATTCAAATTAAGTTTGATAACAGCTCGATCATAGCTACAAGTTAGATTTGCGCCATTGAAATCCTATCTTCCTTTCTGGTTTTCTTCGATTTGCATTTTTAAATTCATTCGCCCGCACTAGAAATGTGCGTTATTCCTGCTTTAATTTGGTTTTTTTTGTTTAATATTGACTAAGTTAAAATGACAAAAATTGTACCAGAGTAAGAGATAAATTCTTATTCAATTTCTATGGGGCAGGGCTGGCTGATTTTATGGAGTGGCATACTTTACCGATGCGACTTTCATCTTGAATTACATATTTAAAGAAGCCAGCCAGCTGGAGCTACCTTTTTTCTGATGAAAGGACTGGAAGCAAGGGGCATACATGTGTATGTAGTATGTCATCCACTGTCCTGTTGCTGGAGCAGATTGCTGGGCTAGCCCTCCTGCAGGGGAGCATGATTACATGGAAAACTTCCAGCCTGGCTCGCCAGGATCGTGTGACATCATGATACCAGAACCCTGGGTTCTCATATAATCACAAAGTTTTTTTTAAATTTATACTGCTTTATTGCAATACATTTACATTGAAGTGATTAATTTTTTGCATAGAGATCTTAAAGACAAGATCTTGGCAAATCAAGTCAGCCAAGCTCATGAATGATATCTAGTGGTTTTAACAATGTCACCTTTATTTGACTTATTATTTTGAGCAGACAGGGAAGAAGACGGGCTCTTCGCTGATGATGATGAGGAAGAGGAAGCCCAGCTTGGTGTTCCAAAGCAGTTTTATTATGATGAATATGATGACCCTTATGACATCCTGAAAATGATGATGAACTATGTTGATAATGATGCAGGAACTTGTCTTCATCTTGCTACCAAAGTAAGTTGATAAAGACTCCATCCAGTGCCAACAGTTTCAAAGTTACAGAGCTGCATATTTGCTTTGCATAAAGCTTCCTCTTAATTCCTTGGATCCAGTGACTTTAAGCAAGTATAATTTTCAATAATAGTTTTTGATTAATACATTATAAAGCATTCTTGCCAGGCCATGGCCTTTTAGGATTCCCACCTTTTGTAAAGTTAGCGGGGCTCAAAACCCTCCCCATCTGATCATCTTATAAATATCTCCTTGCGAATCAGTGGTGTTATCATGTTTCTGGGCCATTCCTCGAAATAAAATCGGCAAACATGCACAAGAAAACATTTTCCTAATCAAAATATGACAAATACTTTGTGTGTTTGCGCATGATGTGCCTTATGGTATGAAGGCGTACGTTTTATGGAAACGTCGACTTGTCAATGTCGGCAACTTAGATTAAACCTGTTGTCAATGCAAATTAACATCTATTGTCTAATGACCAATCAAATGCCTGTGTTGCTGGTACAACGCGCTCTGTGAACAGAAGCTGCAGTGATGTCATTACAGTCCCTCTATTTTTCTCGTTCCTCCCCCCCCCCTACCCCCCCGACCTGTAATCCCTGATTCCCACCCCATCGGTACAGTTGAAAATCAAGATACCTGTGACGGTAAGACGCGGTATCCAAACGATCTCACGAAAAAATAGGGGACTGTGAAGAGTCTATAGGGAATTTCAACTGTATAATATATAACCAAGTCATGTGGGATTACATGAGGTCACATTTTGCAGTGTACATTACATTGCATTAAATTATGGGAAAGAACACATCAAGCCATAACTTCTGATCTTATGTGATGGTACTATTTCACACATAGAATGATCTTTAATCCCATCTTTTAACACCATAATTATATATATTAAATTTATATAATCACAGGATTTCACAGGACTTAACCTAAAAGTCAGATCTGTTCACACTTATCTGGGAGAAGATGAACTTTCTTTAAAAAACTTGTTGTTGTGAGGCATTTTCTGGCAAATAGTTCATGTGATCTGTGAACATTTTATAAATCGTTTTTGTGGATCCGACACATACATGATCTGTAGCAGGTGTTTTTTCCCCTTTTTTGTGTTTGTAATTTGGAACCCATACTTTGTATCTTGTTAATGAAAGTAGTGATTGTGAATTTCAACTGCTTTTAGGTGTTTTGTTATTATAATTATAATGTTCTTTAATGCACAGCGAATGCAAGATCACATGCAGTTACCCTCTGGCTTCTGCTTTAATAAGGAGTTGTTTTCTTTCACAATGCATTTTTTTTAGTGCAAAAAAAAAACTGAGGAAAAAGTTGCATATTTTAGACTAAATCGTCCAACATAATTAACTACAGCTACATTTTATCGTGCATTTCACGACAAGAGGTTACAGATTTGTTAAAGAGAAAAAATAATGATGCATTATACTGGCAGAAGCAAAATGTAACACTTCACCGGGTCACAACATTAACATTCAAATCCTGTACTGTGGTATCAAAGGACACTGAAATGACATTTAAAGCAGGTAAAGACTGCCAAGCTTATGATATTAAGTAATAAGTAAATTTGTTTGGTTTATACTATAGCTTGGTTACGCAGATGCTGTAAGGGCATTGTTGGCTGCTGGATCAGATCCCACCATTGTAAACAATGAAGGAGCTACATCATTTGACTACTGCACAGACAAAGCTATCATAGGTGTTTATAATGAAGAACTTCTGCAGGCTTCTGCCAACTCAAAGTAAGTTTTGACCCTCCAGTAGTAATGTAGTAAATATCATAAGATTTCATAAATTGACAACAGGTTTTAAGCATATAGCTCTCAGCATGATTAATTAGTGTCCCCTTGATGGATAAAAAACAGATAATAACTAAAACTGAACATGTTTTTAATCTTGTACAAGTGTCACTGAAGGTACGTTGAAGAACAAATACATGAGTTTGGTGACCTTTTTGTTGATTTTAATTAAGAATTTTCAAACCAGTTTTTGTCCCTTTTATTTTTGTCCCTTTTGTGTGGGATAATACTTATGGTAATTAGAATGCACCTGAGATGAAAGGAAATCAAAAGACATAAACATGCTTTTAGCTTTTTATGCAAGTTTGAAATTCTAAAACTAGTGAGAGAGTCCAATATGTATGGTACTTGTAGTTAAGTATTGTGATATTAATTTATTTTAACATTGTCAAGTGATTTAGTGTTAAAGGTGGTCAATTACACTGACAATAAAGTTTATTCTTGAATTAACAGTGAATTGAATAAGATTTATTGTATTAACTAAGTAACATGAAATCTGTACTTAAATTTTCCTTTCAGTTAAGTCAAAATATGCAGAGAAATTATTTGCTTCCTCTGTATATTTGCTGATGCTTGTAAAAATTTATCATAAATTGTCTGCACTCTGATAGCTATCCTATATTACCACACAACATCATTTTATTTTGAGGAGACATCTTTTTCCTTTTTTGTTTGGAGACCTGTTTCAAGTTAATACTCTTTCGATGTTGTTAATGTACATGTATAGACTTGTAAATATAATGAAATCCCAAAAATCTGTTGTGGTTTCATTTGCATTTCTGGAAAGTTGTCTGTTTTGCCCTTTACTGAATACCACAGTTAACATGCAAATGGAGTTACACTGGATGCATTTTTAAATCATCAACTGGTGTGTAACTTCAGTTAGTTCATTACCAGATACAATGTAATTTTATTAGCGCGGTTTTCACTTGACTGTCGAAAGTAATTGAGGAATTGGTTTGGTTTTGGTTTTACTACGCCCTTTGGTTGGCTAGTGTATTTACTTTGGTTTTGGTTTTATGCCAGTCAAGTGAAAACCGCTCTATATGTATGTATCAGTATGTACATGCAGTGGAGGTCTTTAACTTAAATACGAGAGACTGTTAACTTGCTAATTTAATAGAGAAATACAAAACAAACATAATTTATTCTTTGCACAATATTTAAGCAAATTCATATATTTACTACCGCAGGGAGGCGGGATTGGAGGTGGTGTAGTAATTACTCCCTCTCAGGGGGGGGGGGGGGGAGAGGGGGTGGGGGGGGGGGGGGGGGGGAGGGGGGGGGTGGGGGGGGGGGGGGGGGGGGGTTTCCCGTGTCCCCCACTTTGATTTTCAACACCGGGTGTTTTTGATTATTAGGGGATGCTATTTGGCCTGTTTATTTTTTTTATTTTTTTTTTGATCTTTTTTGTGTTGTTTTCGCTATTTTACTCCATGTCTGTAGAAGGGGCGACGAGGTGAGGTGAGGGGAGGGGGGGGGGGGGGGAGGGTGGGTGGAGGGGGGGGGGCGTGGGGGGGCAAGCGTACGGCGGGCTGCGCGGGGGGGGGTGGTGGGGTTTACCCATGTCCCTAGTCTGAATTTCAAAACCTGCTGTTTCTCGTATTAAGGAGGAAGCCATGTCGCTGTTGATATTTTACTATTGTATTCTGCACTTTTCTCTGTCGCTATTGCAGTTTTAAGCCATCTTCATGTCATTTGTCACCATTTCATCTGTCCTATGTCCCTGTTTCAAGGCCATGCCTCAGTAGTGGTGTGGTAGTTGGATTCATTTTTATTTATACTATTTGATGTTTTGTAGTGTTCCCAGAGTGCGCAAACTATTGAAGGCAGGAGTTAACGTTAATGCCAGTGATGGTGCCACAAGTGATAACAAAGCTCTTCACTGGGCTGTTAGTTATGGAAATGCTGACATTGTCAAACTTCTCTGTGGTAGGTTTATATTAAATTTTTATATCTTCTAGAATGTCTTCTCTCCTTGTCTAAAACTAGTTCTTGTTTAGGCTTGAGTTTAACTGCTTTCAACTTGAAAATTAAAAACTTTTCACCGATCAATGATGTAGAATTAACACATCCAGACGTCCCTTCAATATTGGAGTAATAGTAATGAAATAACATTATTTACTGGTTATCACATGTCTTTTCTTTGATTTGGTTCTGCATTTTCAGAACATGAAGCCAAGGTGAATGTAACCAATAAAGCTGGGGTAACACCATTGCATGATGCTGTCACCAGAGGTGACCTAGATATCGCTAAAATACTCTTGCAGCATGGAGCTAAATACGATATCAAGGCAACTGAAGGGTATGTTGCATAATAATATTACTTGGGTGTCCTGTGAAATTCTCCTGTCTAAACCTGTGGAGAAGTCTTCATCACTTGGCCAAAAACCTACAACCAGACTCTTCTGTTCAGCACCATGTGTACTGCTGGCTTAAAGCAGACTCAAATCTCTGTGAAGTTCAGTTTGTGTGTAATCCATGTCTTATAATGGATTATCAATAAAGACCAAGCTGTTTATGTATAAGAGGTCCAAATGTGGAGGGTATTCCTACCAAAATACTGGGTCAAGGCATCTTAAAACAATGCCATTTTGCAGATGCCTTATATAACCACAAAATGTACAAGTAGCATGTAAGAAATTTATCATATTGTTGCAGGAAAGAGCATCTTCTGCCACTCTGTTTGTTTTCTGTTTTTATTTTTTAAGGGCACAGCGGCTCACCCAGGTCTGACTTTTCAATTTTTTCTCTCTTGTCCACATTAGTGCACACAAGGATCAAACAGCATTAGACTTAGTAAACTCTGAAGAAATGAGGCAGCTGCTCACATCACCTGTTATAAAAGAAGCTGAGCCTGTGACCAATGGTGATTCAACAATCAATGATCAAACTACAGACTCAGGTATATCGTCTCGGTCACTCTTCAAAAGATAGCAACTTTCTTGTAAGAAATGTCCTCAAAACAACAATGGATTGTTTGAAGTAGTACATGGCACACTGTGAGCAGCGTGCAAAGAAAGTCGTGTTCGATAGCCCGGGGCTAGTGGATTTTGCTATCAGGCTAGTGATTTTTGTTCTTAACTTGCCCGACGGGCAAGTGTTTTTTTGTGGGAAATTCAAATTACAGAAGGATTGTATTAAACCAATCCTGCTAATCAAAAAGGATTTTGAGGCTAGTTGAAATGACTTTTGGCCTAGTACATGCTAGCTACAGCTTGCCCAAATGGCAGGCTGTAAAACTGACTTTCTTCGCACCCTGATGAACCTGTGATCAAGCTCTCCTGGGGTGCTGTACAGGTGGGGCAATTTAAGGATTTAGTGATGAAACTACCCTTGGTGGTCCAAGAAGAGCGTGCTTGCAGGCTACACCAAATTGTCATTTTTTTGTGGATTTAATTTTAACTCATGTGGAATAAATCGACATTGATGACGTCAGGGAAAGGTATCTCATTACGATAACATCATGTTCATGTTGTTCCTAGCATAACCGGTTTGACAGGTTTTAAGTTACATTTGGATTGATGATGTCATTGTTTTTTATTGGGGACTGAAATGAGAAAGGTGTCTGTTGATTATGTCGTTTTCACAAAACAGTTTCAGGCAAGCGTAAAACCCTTAATGACAAAATTTCACTGCAGAACCATAACTTAGCGTGCTGTACAGGCATTACTTTTTTGGGTTTTTCATGGGAGCAAAGGCAAGCACGGAGAGGGCGTGGAGCGCGAGACGCTCACTGTGGGGGAAGTCATCCAGTAACATTGCATCACTGTTAAAGATTGAAAAGCTGATGTTTCGAGTGCTACTTAGCCCTAATTGCTCTGATGAAAGCGTATTTCAAGCGTCAGCTCGTCTGTCTTTTTTATAGTAGAAAATTGGCTCAAGCAACTTATTTGAAAAACAAACTAAGACAGAAATTTGTATTTCACTTCACTAATGATCATCACTTTTTACAATAGTTTTTCTTTATAAACTATGCATTGCTCAGCCACAGGTGTCATCAGCAAAATTTAATATCCTTTTTACTTGCATTTCTCTTTCTTTTAATCAACTGTCGACCTACAAATATAATTATAGACTTGACGTGCATCTGATGTAATTCTCGTTCTTTACATCCGCCACTGAGGCAATCAAGCCAACAATACTCACGGCTTTCAAAGTGGCCGAACATGTTGGTTCTATGACAGACACTAACAGAAAATCTCTCCCTTGATTTCTTCAACAGAATCAGCTCCTTCTGAAACCAGCACTCCTTCATCCACTGTACTCCGTAACACAACACTTCCCTCCCCTCCCTTGTCCTTATCATCTCAGCTGCAGTTGCTATCAGGAATGTCCCCACCTGCCAACAGTGAATCTCTGGATTCAACATTTCTTCAGTTGTGGCCATATCCTCAACAGATCACACAGATTAAGGGCACCAGATTTTTTCCTACAGCGTCACTGCCAGTTGTGTTGTTCAGAGGACTGCAAACAGGTATATCGCGGTATATTGTGGGTAAAATCAACATCCCATTCGCGGCCCTACTTTTGGAACCTCTCGTAGTCTCCCACTTTGGATCCCAGTTTCTGGGAAACTGCCCACCTACCTCTCCCTTAAGCCATAATTTTGCCCTAAGTGAGAAGTAATTGTTAATGTTAGCTTAGGGGAGGGGTAGGTAGGCAGTTTCCCAAAAACCTAAATTGATCCCCCACTTCCTTTAAAGGGGCTCTGTCAGACTATTTGATATATTTTTAAAAAGATAAAACCTTTCTTCGGATGAAATGAATTCCAAAAATAATGGTTTAGGTTTGTTATTGAAGACTATAATTAGGCATTGAAACTGTTTCTTGTTGTTTGTTGCAACGGTTGGCAAGGATGGACATGGATTGAAACTCGGAAATACCCCATAAGGCTTGGTTCTCTTAATAAGTGACCACCTCCCATAAGCGACTACTTAATCTTTGCATTTTTGGTGCTCTTTTACGTTTAAGTTACCGGAGGTTTGATTTTAGTTTCTGTTCAAGTCAGTCTTGACATTCAGCCCAGTCAAACTCCTGCACCTGTTAGCTCTGCTCTTGCCCCCCTGCAAAAGATTCTTTTTGTGATTTTGTGGTTGTGCCTAAAAAGAAAATAACATCCGTTAAATGTATTGTAACATTCATTTAGTAGTTCTATGATTGTCCTTCTTGAAACTAGATTATTTCCAAGAAGCTTGTGAGATGTGGAACACTTTGGAAGAAAGCTTTGAACAAGTTGGCCACACCCTAGAACTTACTGTCGTAGGAGAAGGTAACATTAACTTAAAAGACTCTAAGATTTCATAAAAAAAATGTTGCAATTGTCTGACTGATTTTAAAGACTTGCAGCGACTACAAAAACAACCTTATGGAAGCACCGCTTGGACAAAGAACCCGTGCTTTTAACGTTATTATTAGTTTTTTATTCCATTTAAGTAATTTTTCTTTGGTGAAGGAATTTTCTGGTCGCTGAATTTAATTCGTTTTTCACTTGCTGAATAGTGGTGTTCATTTTTTCTGCTCAAGTTTCTACTCCCAGTAATATGCAAGTTGTTGATATCACTAAGTCAGGACTGCATTTTCTTGTTTTTTCTTTACAGATTTTGAGCGAGGAGGTAGTGTCGCGGGCAGTATAGAATGTCACATTTGTCCAAACTCGTTTAGCCGATCAGACAGTTATAGAATCAGTATTTCAACCGTGAAGGTAAGCACTGCACGCCTCTTTTACTGTCAACGTGAAAATTGTCCTAAAAAGTTGAATGTGGGTTTGATTCCTGGGGCCGGTCCAATGCTAGTATTTCCGAGCTTAATACATTGACACTCAAAAAAGTACCGTTTTTAGTAAGCTTCTAGTTTTCATCGCCCAAAGACGCTGGTTACCTTGACGCAAGGTTGACTCCCTACTCCGCCTACTCTCCCCCTTCCCTTACCCCACCCCTTACCCCACCCTTGAGATAAGCGAAAATGCTTCGACGACGGCAGCCAGTACAATGGACTGTCGTCTTTGAGTTTACTTTCTTTGAAAACAGCCCACGTTGCAAACGTTCATTTGCGAAGTGAGAGTGAAAACTGGAGCGAGGCCAAAAGTACGCTCATGGCTTACTTTGAATTCTCTATTTATCGCTTTTCAAATTAATATAGAATTTGAGTTCGAATTGGAAATAATCACCCGCCGAACCAACAATAGAGGATGTTAGCATCAACAACGATTACGAGTACGAGAACGACTTCAAGCCGTACTCGAAGTCGTTTTCTCAGCTTTCTATGTTAACGATGACACCCAACTTTCCCGGGTAAATGCAAATTTACTCTGTGTAGGAAATATCGCGTTCGGTTGCTTTAGCAGTATTTTACATAAAACATAACATAAGGAATGTTCACGATGATAAAGAGAGGCTAGAAACGAAAAGAAACTGCATTAAACGATCGGAATTTACCTTTGAAAACCAGCTCTTCCGAGTCGTTCTACCCACCTCGAGTTTTTGGTGAGAACTCGTCGTAGTGCAACTTGACAGGACGACTTGAAAACGTGGGGATGCGCAGAACGGATGCGCAGTACGCAAAATCGCTCTTCTCGTTCTAGAACTCGCACTCGTTGTCGATGCTAACATCCTCTAATAGGTTGAACTGCGCGCAAATTACCAAGGCTATGAATGAACCCTTTATTTGCTTTGAAAGAAAGTTGAATGGTTCGTGTTTTGCAAAACCAAATAACAAAATCAAGCTTTTATATTTTGTGGAACATGACAGATCGTTGGGTTGATCATTTTTTCTTTGTATAAAACAGGTTGTTTTAACAGCTTGTGACTTAGCAGGCTTGTGGTATGCTGTTAACACGTTACTACAGATCTTAAGACTATTTCATGGCACGGGAATTCCGCAGGTCCAGGTAAGTTTTATCAAATGACCCTTAAAATCATCATTCATTATTATGTGGGCAAGGCGCATTGAAACAAATAGTGTAGAACTGACAGAATAAAGGAGACAGATTTATTATTTATCCATTCATTCATTTATAATTATTTTTTAGTTCCTTTCATTGTATTAAATTATGACTGAGACGAAAGAGATTGACTAGGTGTGTTCGTTTTTGTTTGTTTTTTATTAAGTTTCTATAAATAGTATCATAATCATTAATGTTTCTGTAGTTTGATTGTCGTTGGTTTTGGTCGGCAAAGCCCATTGATAGATGTCTCCTCTTCCTTTTCAGATAAGTGACTGGCCAGACTTGAAATACAGAGGAGTATTATGGGATGTGTCCACAGGGCGTGTTCCTACCTTGGTACGTCAACGGACCAAGTTTCGTAATATTTTCTACATGAACGAGTAACGCATGCTTGCTTTAAGACTCTCCATCCACCCTCTCCCGTAGAATCCAAAATCGGATCTCTGAAACCATTTTCGAAATAGCATCACGTTTATCAAGACGCATAAATGCGTACAGCTTCTTCCTCTTTAAAATCCAAGAAAGAAAGAATAATATATAATATTTTTAACGTTCTTTTTTTTATTTCTAATATACCACCTCAGGAAACATTGTTTTCTATGATCGACATTTTGTCCTCCATGAAGATCAATCAGCTACAGCTGTACATGCAGAATACCTTTGCATTTTCCGGACACGAAACCGTGTGGAGAAACACAACACCCTACAGTCCTAGGTATGATAACATTGGAAGTTTCGAGTCGAGAAAATAGACATATTCAGCAAAACAATGTAATTTTATTGATTGCAAAACGTAAACACAGGAAGTGGTCTGAATACAAGTTTATACTGCTTCGTGGTTACAGACACGTCAGAAAAAATTAATTCTCACGCTGTTTATCGTAGCCTGAGAAAACAGCCGATATTTTGCTACGTCACCACTGGTTTCCCGCGGAACGAACGGAGAAATTCCAAACTGATGACGTGTTACCATCCAACTCTGGGTAATGCTTCTGATTGGTTGATTCGTTTGTACGTGGGAAGCAATAGGCCATTTCCGAGTTGGAGCAAGCCTCAATTTCAAAGCGAGGCGAAGTGCGAAACTCATTTTCACAAGAGAGGTTTTGCACTTAGCCTCGTTTTGAAAGAGAGAGAGTTTTTGGAAATCGAAAGTGGCCTATTGGTGTAAACAAAACAACAAATCTGCACATGGAGCACGCGTTTTTACACTTTTTACCGTCATCGCTTGGTTGCGACGCGACTCGTTTCCTGGAGGACGTAAACACAAAACGACAGTTTCCTTTCTCTTCTTCTGAACTGGGACACGGTCGTCAAGAATTTAATTCGAGGAAAATTCGCCAACATTTAACGAACTGAAGGAGGCTGAATATTAGTAATGAATTTTGAAACAGCACGAAGTCACATTTCAGGTGGCGTTTTCGCAGCCGTCTTCGTCGTGGTTGCTTAAGCTGCCTATTGTCTTCTTTCGGTGCGCGCGCGTTAGGGGTCTGAGACATTTATTGCGTCAACTTAGCCGTAATATCAGAAGATCCAAGATCGCTCGCTCCCACTCCGCCCTTTTTTGGCGAGGTGGTGAATGCGAGCGATCTCGAATCGTCTGAGAATCAGTGGGGACAGCTTCATTAGGTTTTCGTCATAGTTTGATTTGCACAGGAATCATTCACAGTACAATACGTTACCATCCACTCGACGTTGCGTTATCAAAGTAGTTCTGTCTGCGTGGGAGGTTACACACACCAGTGGTATTAACCAGCATTTTTTATTTTTTTCAGCGACATCATGAAAATAGACAGATACTGTAAAAAGAGATACATCGAGCTGGTACCGCACATTGAAAGTTTGTCTGGATTCAGTCAGTGGTAAGAGAAGATACTCATGCAAGTAATCACTGATCATTATACTACACGGAGAATGACTATAATATATTGAATTCATGTAGGCAATGGTTTGTGAATGGTTACCTTTCCCCATTAACCAATCATTTACTTATTTACTTAGGTTCGCCAATTTTTGGCGGGGTCACCGAAACAGCGCGCGGCACTAATTACTGTGAGCCCCGGTAACGTTCCTCTCCCCCCGGCCCCCCCCCCACCCAACCCCCTCTATTAGAGATAGACTACTACACCCGGGACTACGTCACCTACTCTTTGCGAATAGTGTGTGGGTTCTTTAACGCCATAGGGCCTGCGGTTTTTCGTCCTTACCCGAGAAGACTAACCGTTTACAAAAGTCTTTGTAAAGGAAGCACTTTCACCTCAGTAATTTAACGACCCTGAGTGTTGGTCCGTTCGGTGCTTGAACCAGTGGCATGCCGTTTAGCAGACTGGCGCTTATCCAATGGCCCTTATGCAAGATTACGTCAGACGAGCAAATTTCAACACCAAGCTTCGTTTGTAAGCAATAATCTTCGCTCATTTTTGCACTCTTTGTGCGTTGGTATTCTCGTTTTTCAACTCTACTGCCTTGGGAATTCATTTATGCGAAACTTCGCAACTTTACAACTTCAAAACGAGGCTCGGTGGTGAAATTTGTTCGTCTGAGGTCAACATGTATAAGGGCTATTGAGCTAACCGGGCGGCGGTTATTATAACCAACTTTTGTCCACCTTAACAATTCCAGAAATCGTGGCGTTTAATGTTTCTACCCATTCTCTCCGTTTTGATTCCAACCGCCCTTGAACTCCATCTAGTTGGTAAGCAACCCATGATCATGGTCTTCTGCAGTGCCAGTGGAAACTAAGTACAACGTTGTTCTTTTTCTTTTTGCTCAATCCTCCTGACCAATATTAATGGGTACTTTTTTTCTTCAGGTTAAAATTCAAGTCATACAAACACTTAGCCGAAGAAGCTGTTGTATACGACCCACAGGAAGAAAGGTACAAAGTATACTGTTGAAACAAAAGGTTTCATTGCAGAAGCAATCTACAATTTAGGAAAACTGTTACTGAATTTGACCTGCCCTGTTGAAATATTTCATAAATGCAAATTCAGCATTTTTCCGATACATCTATGTGGAAAACTATCAACCGCCTGGCTTTTCCAGAAACATAATTTTTGTTATAGTACGGAATGAGTGCAGTACTTCGTTTTTCGTTACGCGACAGCTTTTTGTCGCAAGTTGTTGCTAATGTTTCTTTTAAAAAGTGAAATAAGTCCAGGCGTAACGTATTCATCTATAGTGGATTCATCTTCCCACGTGCTTTCAACTAAATTTCCAGGAAAATACCCCTTAAGCCCTGTTAATTCCTGTTTAATCTTGTATGTTCAACAGACAGCCATCCTGTCTCTGTCCATCAGACGATGAAAGCATCAAACTAGTCCAAGATCTCCATTCAAAAGCCTTCCCTTGCTTTTCATCGGCAAGGTAAGCATGTACAATCTGGATGTCTGTTTTGTGCCGAAAAAGTCTGAGAGCAAAGCTCATATAATTGTATCGTTACGTTTTTTTCCAGATTCGTTCATGTTGGTTTAGACTTGGCGCCGGAATTTGGGAAAGGGAAGTCACATTCTGTAACAGAGGTACATTAGCTGAGTTTTGGTTTTTGGTTTCTTTGAATGTGAGTCATTACGGAGTTTAAGCAGCAAGGTTTTTGAGCGATAAATGTTAACCGGAAGTGGCCTTTTTGCACTCTTGAGCCGTGATTTTGGACAACTTTTGGGCAAATCGTCTCTATAAGAGTAAAGACACTTAGCAATACAAATTTGGTAGCGTCGAGATATATTGGAAGCGAAAACGCTCACTTGCGGTTGACGTGGGTGGTTTTAAAACGTCGCTGCTCAAACACTCTATTGTTGTGGATTGACAAACCCATTGTTATTGGCTGAGGGTATAAACGTTAAAACTGGAAACTTGCCTCAAGTTAAGATCGTGCCGTAATTCACACGCAGATCGCGGCAGATGTAGTGTACCTTTTTGTCAACGTCTTCCGCAAACTGTCCCGAGTTTCGTTGACCTGCGACTCCGTTTTGCGAGGATGTAAAGATCAAGTTGCGCTTTAGGAATATTGAAAGGGAAGTTCCGTTAAGGCCCCGTCCAAACGAATCCTTTTTTTCTTAAAACGGTCTTTTTTTTGCACGTATCATTTTCGAATCCTGTCCTCGCATATCCCTTCCTGTTTAAAACTGGGCATTCTTATACGGATTGGCCTTGAATTGATCTAGCGGTGAACTTCTTATCCCGCGCGACGTTAGATTCGGTAATGTCATCGCTTGCGGTTCCTGTGAGTCTCTTCGGATACGTGTTGACGTAAGGCTAGTCCGCAAAAAAAGGGGAAAAAATCACGAGTTTTGAAAAAAAACGGGTAATTGTGGACGGGGCCTGAGATTCTAGGGAAGCAAAATTGGTTTCCTGACAGACAAGCCTTCAAATACAGCTGAAACGGGAACGTGTCTAGTGACGGGGAGTGATAGGAGGCGACCGTATTCGAAGGCGTCCGAGGGACCAGTAAACAACTGATTAGGTTTTGTACCTCTTACATGAAAACCAGGTAGCTGTGTGACGTTATAGGTTTTGCAACGTGCCCTAATCAGCGACATTTGGCGGGAAACAGATTCAGACGTCATCTAACCTCGAAGGGACTATTCCTCAGCGAAAATTCTCTCTCTGGGGGAAATTTCTGCCATGTAACAATAATACTTTTATAACTGCTGCTGTTTCAGGAGAAAGGAACAGACGAGGTGTACATGAGCTATCTTAAATCTGTGCACCAGTCTTGCTGTAGGCATGGACGAACACTACAGTTCTGGGCCAATGCCCTTCACGAGGACCCTGAACAGTTGTGGAATCTCCCCCCTGGCGTCATAGCCATGGAATATGGACATACGGTACACTAGCCACGGTTAATTAAACTCGTATTCTGAGGTTGTAGTCGCGGGTGATTTTCAGCGATTTTTAACGGCATTTCCAACCATACTTTTAGGTTAATCACGACTTCCTGAAGTTCTGCAAACCATTGGTCGATGCCGGGTAAGTATAATGCAAGTTTTATTAATCTGGGTTTATCAAGAAAAATGTTGTGTGATACATGCCCAAAGATTTAAGCGACTTCTATAAGTTTAAGCCCTTTCCATGTGTTCCTATTTTATAGAACCAAGATAATGTAAACTATGGATAGGAAGATGTGACCATCGCAGTTTTAATCGCGATTTAAGCAATTGTAAATTAAGTCCGAAAACAATTCCGAGCTTCGAAAGAATTCGAATTCATGACCTCTGCTTTAGCGCCGCAGTTAGACTTGCTACAAAAGCCATTTGAAATCCGACGAAGGACTTTTTTGAAAGTCTACGCCGCAGTGTTCTTCCAACTAAACTATCAAGACCCATACACTGGGAGCAGGCTCAATTTGTTGACATCATCTTAACCCGTGAAAGGAATGAAACATGAAATAAAGGTAATGTAAACCTCAGGCTTAATTAGAAATTGATTTAATTGCGATCACAACTGTGGTGGCCGTATCTTCATTTATATTTATTTCAACTTTGTTTAATATGCGAGTCAACTTTCATTTTTACGTCGAGACTTCCATGGTAGCTTGTGAACAAGCCCTCTCATGAGTCGTCCCAAGAGAGCTTGCTTACACCGTCAATTCCAGCCCCTGTGTCGAGTGAACTTGTTCATAGGCTATTCATACTTAAGGTCATATGGTCTTACCAGCGGTGTGATACCTACTTTTTACATGGTTCCTGATACAAATGCAGTAGAACCCGGGTAACTCGAACTCTGAAGGGAAACGAAAAACAGTTCGCGTCAGCGGAGAATTCGAGTTATTGGGGTAAATTTCAGTGAAATGTTGATCAAGGGAAAGGAAATTTAGTTCCAGTTGGCGAGGAATTCGAGTTATCCGAGTTTGAGTTATCGAGGTTCTACTGTATAACAAATGAATTTGATAAAGCTTACTTACCTGTCCAATACTAAGAGAGGAATTTCATATTCGACCTCCATGAGTCACCAATTTCTCACTGAATATTTCTTCTCATCTTGCAGTGTCAGCTTCTTTGTTTGTCCCGGGACTGGTTCATGGAACAGGTAATATAAGAGCTTTATGTGGAATTAGAGCGCTAGTTAATGGCCTAGTTCACCAAGGAGCGACCGAACAGTTGTTTGTGGGTTGTCGTGGCTTTCAATCTCGTCAGTGGACTTGAGGAACATGGCATTTTTGCTTCTCTTTGCAGTGCTTGTGGAAACTCAGTGGACAGTTTTACGGTGATACACAACGCGGTACAAACGGCTGTTGCCTGCAATGCTCTCGGTGTCCTCATCTGTGATTGGTCTTTACCTGGTCACGTGAATCCTCTTAGCGTTAGTATTCCGGCATTGCTTGCGGGTGCCGGGCTAGCTTGGAAATCAAGTGCGGAGTTGGTGAGTCGTAATCTGATTTGCATTCTACTTTTGGCTGGAGTGTCTGCAAGGTTGATTCGTTAAAAAGATTTGTTGAATGTTAAGTCGCCCAGTGTAGTGCCAGGGATCTAGTAGGTCAGGTAGAACCTCGATATAACGAACCGCTATATAACGAAGTCCTCGATATAACGAATGGCATTCTCAGCCCCAGTGAAAGTAAAATATATGGAAAGGAACCTCGATTTAGCGAACGTATTTGGCCAGTCCTTTGGCCCTTAAATCCAGGTTCCACAGTGGAATACTAGCCTCCTATGGACAACTCTTGCCTTGCAGACGCTTCACTACTGAGGGGGACCGATTATACGGACATTAGTTAATTCCACGACAAACTACAGACGTCTCTCTGAAATTAACTCCCGTTAGGTCCCAACAGCACAATTTCATCCTTTTAACACTCGTTGTAAGGGCTTTGCGAACAGAGGTATTTTTCTGTCGCGGTTTTAAGCATGTACGAAGTCGCACCGCTGACATTCACGTAGTTGGCTCTTTTATTTCCAACCAGGCGAATGTTAGTGGCGCGAACTGACTATTTTAACGCCAAAAACCACGCAAGCAGAGTAGTTATAAGGGAAACCTTGAGAAATGTTTCAATATTCAGCCGAACCAGTAAATGCGAGCTGCACCTCTTATTGAAGATCCCCAATTTCTTACTTGGTCCAGCTTGATGTTCTGTGTATATTCAGAGTGAAAATATAAAGTTTGAAGTAAATAATTATATTGTTTTGTTTCAGTCAAATGTGCGCTCCTCTCTCGCCGATGTTTTAAGTCGTCACGTGTTCATGGACGCATCTGGATCATTTGGCCGCGCACTCATTGACCTGGGCTCGACTCACTCAGTGTTGCTTCAGGACGAAGCCGTGCAAGCAGGTGTCACCTCAGATAGCAGCAGAGTACACCCAGTCGCGCATGCTCCGGGAGGTACGCTGCTGTGGCACATTTTGGAGAGTAAAGGGTCATCTGAACTAGAAAATGTAACGTCTGGCAGTTTACAGGTACGTGGATTGGTGCAATCGACGTTTGAAAAGAATAGACCAATGTGCCATTTCCAAGTTCCAAAAACTCTTACTTTCAAAACGAGGCTAAGTGCAAAACCTTTCTCGTGAAAATGAGTTTTATTTGCATGAGAATAAAAAAATCGTTTTCATACCAATACCTTCGCACTTAGCCTCACTTTAAAACAAAGTCTTGAGGCAACTCAGAAATGGCATATTTCGATCATATGATTATTAAGATTGGAGGTTTCCAAAAGTAAAGCAAGAGAAATGTACTATTCATCCCTGTACTTGAAAGTGATTCTTTTGTCTTTTACCCCCCACCCCCACCCCCCCAAGTCTAGGAGCCAAGTGAGAATTTTTTATGCATATCAAATATCGAAAGGGACTAAAATTAATGGAATCCCCCAGAAGGAGGTCGGACATCGCATGACGCCCACACAATGTATCGTGAGCTTGCAGTGATTGGGGTTGGGAGAGAAAGTGAAGGATGTTTCAAATCGCAGTCTGTAGTCGTCATAAGGTATCTGACCTCAGTAGTCGCGACTGCTTTGAAATTCTAGCTATTTGAAGAGGGGTGGTCTGGTTTGTCTCTAAAGAGTGGATTGGGGTACTTAGGGAGAGGTTAGATTCTAAAGGAAATGAGGTTGTAGTGATTTCCAAACTTTCGCGTGCTCCTTGTGATTTAACTTGCACACTTGATGTGAAAGAAATTACGCGAAATTTGGTCAGTTGACGTATAGCTTTGGTTTTAGAAGCGGAAATCAAAAGCTGGAGGCTTTCCTTATTCACTTGTTTTCTGTACGAGCTTTTGAAAGTTATCGAAAAAAATGATATGGGGTGGCTCTTTGAAGGCCGTTCTGACCATGAACGCCAAATAATCTGGTGAACAACACCACCGCAACCGCCAGCAGGGATGGGAACTATGGAAAAGTGCACGGAAAAATGTCCAGTAATGCTAACGACAAATAGTCTACCACGAAACTGTTCTTTGTCTCGTCACTGGACTGCTTGCGGTCCACCTTTTCTCTGGAAATCCGTCTGGTTCTTATCTCAGCCAGCGCGATTGCAAACCAGGACGTTACAGTAAGGGATTGAGATTCCTAACTAGGATCATGATCGGACTAAGATTTCACAATATAGAAGATGTAGCCAGAACATGTTCGGTGCCGCACTGCGGCACCCGGCTTCGCTGCTCGCGTGCTTGGGTTTTGCGTCACTAACTTGGCAAAGAATTCAATAAGAGACTGCTCGCAGTCTATCTCGTCACGAGCGTTGTGTAGGAGGCTACGAAAGACTTAGTTATGAATGATTTAACCCTTTGATACCCAAGAGTGACCAATGTCAGTTTTCTCTCAACAACACCAAACATCATCAAGAGATAAGGATACGGGAAATTAATGAATGATCACTAAAAGGAAAATGCATCGATCTTTTATCAAATTCTCTTAACTAGTTCTTTAAGGGATTGTGTGGAGATCAGTATGGAGAATTTGTATGTGAATATTGGGGCTTAAAAACGTTATGAAATCCACGCAAGTGTTCTAACTTTGTTGCTTTATTTTGGACGTTAGAGGGCCTTGCGACAAATTCGCCAGTGCCACAAATCCTTCATAGCTGCTGAACTCAAGTGCAAACAAAAAGCGGATATTGTCAAGGAACTCGTCGTATTGGTGGATATCTTACTGTTTGTGACCAGGTTACTTATAGTTCAATACTTTCTGATTTATTTTGGTTAATTAAACAAAGGAAGAAAAAGACCAGGGGTGCATTTTTAGAAATTCCAATCGAAAATTGAGAACTTCGTTTGATTTACACTTCCTTTGGTTTCAGTCAGGCGCTGCGCATATTCGCGCCTTTTTAAGATTTTCACTCGATTGAGAAGTAACAAAAATGGTAGTTGTTTGCTATTAACGTGGGCTAACCGCTCGGTTCACTGTTTAGGTAAATGATAAACGAAATTAAAAGCTGGTAAATTCCGCTCGGGAAACGCTTTAACTGTTTGCACAAAACAGTTCCCTAAGTTACCGAAAGTTTTTGGAACTTTTTGACCGTGGAAACAGGACTTCCTTTTTAGACGTCCCGTTTATTAATTTCCATGTGAACAATCCGAAAAGTTGCGTTCCATTTACGTTACAACCGGATTTTCCAGAAACCTTGCAAACAGCAAATTACCAGTCAATTCTGCAGGGAGTGGATAAATCGCAAACCATGATGCCTTTAGGCAACCCATATGACTTTCAAATGGTTAGCACCACAGAGGTACCTTGAAAGGAACAGACTTGGTTCAAGGCGCAAAAAATCACGGGAACGTTTGCCTTGTAGCCGGTCCTTTTGCGGTCGTGCCATGACCTGAAACTTATTAGAAAACTGAATCTGCATTATTCAAACTGCTCCACAAACAGGTCATTTTGTTGAAGAATATCAGCTAACGGGACGCTGTTTTTGTCGCAGGATTTGCCGACTGCTTCTCTTGAACCGCAAACAGTCCAGTACTACTTCGTCCCTTGAAGATTTACCTGTTATCAATAAGACCGACTTAGCTAACAAGTAGGTGTTTATTCCTACGTTATTTTCTTTATCTCTGTTCTCTGTTTCTTCGTTTGTTTGTTTTGGATGCGTAGAATTTGCATCCCTTGTTTAAATCGAGACCTTAAGATACACCGTGTACTGGTACGGGTAAATTACCCGTACGCGTAGCCGTAAATACGGGCAGATGGCCTCTTATCTACGAGAAACGGGTAGGCTTCCGGGTGGAACGGTAACGCCGTTATCTGCGCCTTCTATAAAACTACGTGGCAAAATGGCCGCCTACCCGAACCCGTAGGGAGAAACAGTGCATCTTAAGGTCACTTATGTTCCGTTGCCTAATTTGGCTTCCCCTGGGGAAGGAGCTTTTGCGCAGCTTTGAAGAGGGTGTTATTGCGTTAATGCGTTTTCCCTGGCGTTTGTAACTTAGTTGTTTTGCCGTTTTTCAGGTTGTTAGCACTTGTGGAAGTGTACCAGAAGGCATACCTTTTGCGTAACAAGCAAGGTGGATTGTTTAGCGCTGTACAGCTGCTGCGAAATTTCCTTCAACATCTGCTTCCTGAAAATGAAAAATGACCGCCTATATCTCTGCTCAATTCGAAGTTTAAATTTAGTGAAATGTCCTAATTTCTCGTCGCGGTATAACCGAGACTCTGTGACCTTGTTCTCATAGAGCCCTTCTAACTTTTCCTCAAGTAAATTATTTTGTCAGGTCCTATTGTAATGGCCGTTTTCACACGAGAGACAGATTATCCGGTCGAGACGGATAATCCATATAATACTAATACTAATACTAATAATAATAATAATAATAATAATAATAATAAATTTTACATTTCACATATTTTATTGATAATAAAAATAAAAATAATATTAATAACAGATAGGTAAAGTCGGGCGGATTGTTCATCAAAAATTAAAACCGTTCCATTTTCAAATTAAATCGTATTGTCTGTCTGGCGCGAATTATCCAACGGCTAACCCGTCTCAGACGGATAATGCGTCTCTAGTGTGAAAATGGCTAATATTTTTCGACCACTGGCTTGTAATCGAGTCTATCTGGTAAAATTAATGAACAAGCAGGTATCGTAGGGATTACCACCACTATTTTAGAGAGCCTAATAGCACCGAAAAAACGTCTGTAAGCAAGTTACCACAGATTTTTTTTCAATAATTGTGACAAATTTGCCCTAGGTGTTCTATCACCCAACAACAAGGGTGGTAACGCGAAAAAAAAAATTCGTTGGCTTGAAATCTTTTTCTGAGTTTGTTAGTTAGACCTGTAGCCGAAGACCCTTTCGAAGACGAAGACGTTTCTCGTCCCAGGGCCGTCTGGGAATACGAAACTTGCCCATTTTGACCCAGTTCCCAGTGCAAGTTTTAAGTAGCCAATAAAGTAGCGCTTACATACCCAAAACAGTTCCATGGTACGGTTCGACACCATGCCAAGTCCATACCAAGTCTTACGATCAACCTTGGAATGGCCAATGGAGGGCTTACAACGGGGTGGATAGTCCTTTTTCAATTGCTCAAACAATATGTGAATTAAACGATCGTTATGCTATTTAATGCCCCTATATTTATAACATTAAGTTGTGTACATTATGATGTGGACCTTATTTTAAAATTGAATTCATTTGATATTCCACAAAGAAACACTCACGCAGATGAATCTCATGCTGTACTCTTTGAGTAGGTTTATTAGTCAAGTAGTCTCCAAGAGAAACATTAGGAAGCACAATAAATACTCTTCTAGAAAGTACGTCGAATTTATTTAGTTGTTGTAAGGTGTAAAGCTGTTAAGGTCAAGCATTCGCAACCCTGTGGGGTTCGTTCCCCTTTAAACTTTAAAAATTCCATGACTTTTTTCATGACCTTTTAAAGGTTTCCATGACCTTAGGGTTTGCTGTCACTTTCGAATACTTTCAACTTGTTGCAAGGCATTTTTCGCCTTGACGCAGTTCAACAGACGCAAACTCTGGTGTCCACCAAATATGCGTGCCATTTGATTACTTGTCTTTATCTTACATTATCCCTGCTTTTCCCGACATCCGCAGTAACTAATGTATTAAAACACAACCTTAATTTTCGTTTGACCTTGAAAAATGATTTCGGTAAGTGCTCGTTATAACAAAACATGGACCCTTCGTTTTCCCGCCCAAGAAAAACCTAATATGGAAGAAGGCATTGTTCAATTGGCTAATCGTGTTGCAGTATGACGTCAAGAAAGTTTTCGGGCATGAAGTATTTCGACCCGAGCGTTCGCTTAACCAACCAAAAGCCACGCGCGTTTGTATCAGTTCGATAAACCAAATCACTCTAATTCCGTTCGTTTGTTGTTTCCGTTTTCATTTCAAGGTCATACGAAAATTGCTATAAGACTAAAGCTAAAAAGGCTTTCAAGCACAAGGCTTATCCCTTGGAAAATGGGAGGAGAAGGAAAAGGCCCATTTCCCCGCCTTCCCTTCTCACGAGGTTACCGTGTGGTCTGGCAGATTCGAAACAAACGAAAATGCTAGCAGCGAAAGGGACTGTATGAAGAATAACACAACGGGACAAACTGAAACTTTTGCAAGACTTTTAATGAGTTCTTGTCAGAAAAAAATACTCACTAACAAATTATTTACAGACACTTCAACAATATGCAAAATGGAAAAGGCTAAGTTATGAAGGAAAAGAAAGCTACAAAGTTCACAGGACCTTTCAAAGAATCCACATAGTCAGACCGGGAGAGAGTAAAGGGCCCTATTGACTATTTTCCAATTCCCCATAATACACTCTGTCTGCCCCCCAAATTTTACATAACTTATTGTCTTAAAATGCTCTTGGGAAAATGCAATACTCCCAGGAGCATTTAAAAACAATGGTTTATGCAAAATTTGGGGGGCAAACAGAGTGTATTATGGGGAATAGGAAAATAGAGAATGGCATCAGGGCAGAGAAGACCTAGACGTTTTAAGGGCTTGCACGCAATACTTCTTAACACAGGAAGAAAGAATGCGTGAAAATCCTTAAAGGGTGGGTAGGAAGTTACCTGGATCGAAACAGTCACCGTGAACACTTTATGAGCTATATACAACGCAAGGTTCAGTCATTCATCGGTATAGAGCGCCAGCAGTAGGCATAAAACGAACACTACGTTGTATAACCCTTATAACGTGTCCTAGTGGTTTTGGTGGTGGAATTTGAATGAACGCTTGCAAAAAAAGAAATGAATGCCTTGTCGTAGCCGACAGATTTTGACAAAATAAACTCACATTGTTGTTATATTACTATTCAGTCAACTGTATTGCATTTCAAGACTCTAGGCTCAGCCTAAAACAGTTAGTTTGCGAAACAAACGTATTTTGAAAGCCATCAAATTTGGTTCACGAACGCTCCTAGAGAAGGATGAGCTTAAGTCAAGTTTCACGCGAGAGGTCCTTAATTTGTAATTTAATTATTAAAATAGTGGACAATGTTGACAAACTGTCCACTATATACCTATCTTTATAAAAGGACTTTAATTTGATTTTCATGGGAAAGAGAATAATTACAGGACTCTAAAAGGCCACTGTTCATGTGCCCAAAAAATGGTTTTGTAATGCAAAATGCTACCTGTTGTGATTGGATGAAAAAATTCACTTTCTAAACCAATCGGTGGTAAACACGAGACGTTCGCCCGCATTTTCAAGCGCTTAGCGTGGCTACAAGCATAAGCTGTTACGGTAATTATGACTGGTTCGTTTCAAAGTTTCTGTTTTACCATACTCGATCGAAAACCGCATGAAATCAAAATATTTCCCTAACGATAAGTGCTAAAAAGGCAGATACCGGCCCTTTGACTCTTAGAGTCAAAGCAGACGCTAGGTCATTTTAAAATTCCGCGGCATCGTCACTTAAACGACCGCTATCCAGAAGTACTTTTACGTGAACTTTTTGTTTGACCTCCTGTAATTGCTTTGGGCTCTCTTAACAGTTAAAGGGCCGCCAAGATAGATACTATTTACTGTAAAACGATCACTTCACCAACCCCAGCTTCTTTGCCTCTGTTTCGTAGATCAGAAGACGCCACATCTTCACCACAAAAACTTCGGCTTCCTCATCTAAAACCTGAAACGAACATAGAAGTATTACTGAAAATAAGTTGCGAAGTTGTGTTCGCACGGCAATAGAAATCAGGGATCAGGGATTATTTTCTAAAAATGTTATTACCCCCCCCCCCCCCCCCCCCCTCTTTTATATTATATAAAAAAAAAAAAAACCACAATATCTCCCACCCTACTTCACAACAATCAACATGGAAAAAAAAAAATAAAAATAAACAAACAAAAAATCAAGTTACTTTTTATAGTGCAAACAGTTGGAAGAGACATAATGAATTAACATTTTACATACATAAGATGAAGACAACATTACAATTCTCCCCAAAAAAATCTGCTCTTCCCAAACAAAAACCGAAAAAACAAAAAAAGTAATTACAAAAAAAAATTGGGGAAGTTGTTTTCGACGGCAAAAAAAAAACAGGGTACAGGATTTTTTTTTTAAAAATTTTTTTACCCCCCCCCCCCCCCCCAAATGTGTTATCTACCTAAAACAAAAAAATTCTTACAGTTTCCCAAAGTTCTCTGCAAAGTCAATTCGGGGAATATAATAATAATAATAGACCTAAGAAAACTGCGTACAGTTTTGTGGTTGGCAAAAGGCCTAGCGAGAAGTCGTATGATTATCTCTAGTACAAGGACTAACTGGAACAATCTTATCATAGAAAAGCTTCACGTACCATGGAGACATCATCAAGGATATGTTTTGGCGTACTTCTAGCAATGACCTGGAAACGACATATTACAAAACAAGAATAAGTGAATAATCATGAACACGTTAATCAAAAGCCTTGGGCCATTTCGGAATTTCCTCTAATATCTTCAGATCAAAAGTTTATTCCCATGCGAAAAAAAATATATTCCGTTTTTATCCGAAATGGCTGTGCATCTGGCGAAGATTTGAGAGGCAAGCGGGAACCCGGAAATAGATCATTTTTTGGGAGATTACTTTCTTTCTTAATCTCCGAACGAGAAGTTCAAGTTCAAGTTCAAGTTCAAGTTCTCCGCTAGAGAAGTTCAAGTTCAAGTTCAGGTTCATTTATTCACACTTATTCAATTGAAAACAACAACAATAAAAAAACAAAAAGAAGTAAAAACAGAGCTATAACTATAGATTGAATTAAACATAACAAAGGAAAAAAGTGTGAAGCAGCAAAAGGAGCCATACTCTCGAGTTAGCCACTACCACAGGGCGGTTTCAAGTGGGTGGAGGTTATACAGTACTTATAAAAAACTCTCCACCCGCCATCTTGGTCGCGGCGTGTTACTCAAACAACACACGATTGTAAAAAAGCTTCACAGCGCGATCAGATGTCAAAAATGCATCAGATTAACAAGCCAATCGCAGATTGATTCCCCGTAAAATTCCATAAAGATAACGTGTCACAACCTAGATCTGGGTAGTGCTTCTGACTGGTTAAACATTTACTTCATCCAGTCAGAAGCACTACGCAAATCTACAATCGGCACCAAAATTGTTGAGACATTGTACTCAAATAGCACAACTACAGAGAACAAAAAATCCACACCTCTCCCCCCTCCCCTTCGTTCAAAGTTGAGGTGTTTGTTGTTTTCTATATAGGTAGCTCGAACAGCGGCACAACATGGAGGGGATGGGGGAGGAAAAGCTTTATTTTCCTCTCTGGAAGTCAGTAAAGCGTCAGAAAGCCCCTTTAGAGCGAAG